TACCTGTTAGATGAAACAGAGTTCAGGTTCCCCATTTTAGGGGTCCTGGAAACCTTCCAATTCCTGACCAAGTTCCTCCCTAAACAACAGAAACAGTCTGTTATGTCCCTTAGTTCTCTAAGATAATATGGCTATACCTAACAACAAAAAGAATGAATTAACTGGTAGAACATTCTGTGTCAGTTGTCTGTTGCTGTGGGATATTTAAAGACACTGAGAAACTCTGAGATTCTGTTAAGAAAATTAACCTTGCCGGGAGGTGGTGGCACATGCCTTTAATCCCAGCACTCGGGAGGCAGAGGCAGGTGGATCTCTGCGAGTTGGAGACAAGCCTGGTCTTCAAGAGCTAGTTCCAGGACAGCCTCCAAAGCCACAGAGAAACCTTGTCGCCAAAAACCAAAAAAAAAAAGAAAAGAAAAAAGAAAATTAACCTTATATCAGGGGGCACAGCCAGGAACTACTACACCAGAATTAGCCACAGAGAAGTTAGGAATGTGGATAAGGAGACTCACCGGAAGGAGTAGGAAGGTACTCAAAGATTCCGAGTCTTTTGAGTTTGGGATGAGTGGGGAAATACATCTCTTACTGGATCTTTGGCCAAAAAAAAACAAAAAAACAAAAAAACAAGGTTTGTTACTTGCCTCTCAGCTTCTCTGATCTACCATGTTTTCACCCAACACCTGGCTCCTGAGTCTTTACTGGTAAACAGAAAGATAGAGAGTCTGATGGTATTTAAATGATCAGTAGAATCAGGTGCAGCTCAAATCCCACAGAAAAAGAGCAGGTGGCAATGATGGAGTACCTAGGGAAAACCCATAACCCCTGAGTTCTGATTGGTGAAAAATGTAACTATAACTTGGCAACAAAGGGTTGTGGGTTTTGTGTTAATGAAATCCACTTCTGCCATTGTTGGGGACTACCAGAAGAACAAGGCTCCTGTCCTTGTCCTGCAGCCCAGATTGATCAGTACACCCTATTCTATGTTCCCCCTCTTATATGGTGACTTATTAAAGACTTTGGATTCCATAAGTATTGTCGCTTTCCTTCCTCCTGGTTCAAGACATCCATGTAACACATGGATATTAAAGGGGTAAACTAAACTCAAGGGCTTCACTTCTAATAATCTAGAAATAAAGGGACCAGACCTTCACTCAGCCCCCTGCTTTAACAGCCATGACATGCTACAGAAAAGATACAAAGGCCTCTGACAGAAGGAAACTCCAGATCCTCTGTCCTCCCAGATCCTAGGGCCAAAACTGAACACAAGAAACTCTAAGCGAGACCAAAACCTCCCCTGTAGTCTCCAGGATATAGTTCTAAAAATTATTGGTATCTATGTACAACAGGACACCTGCAAATAATAAGACAATGGCATAGAAACCACAGAATGTTCCCCCTCAGCACTGATCAATGAAAATATATGGTACACAGGTATTTCATGCCAAAGTATGACTTTGAAAAATTCTCGTAATTGTTCCCAATGTCAACCAATCAGAAACCAACCCATACCTATTGATGTAATCCTGTATTTGTTTTAAAACCTAGCAGTAGACAGAGAATTTCACTCCCTCTGGAGGCTGCTGTGCCAGCTAGCCAGATGGGGTCCCTGTCATGGTTGGATGAACAATCAATACAATTAAAACATTGCTTTTACAATTTAGTGGGTCTGTCCTCCTGGGGGTCTCTGAGGACTTTGCAACTTGGGCACAACAGATAGAGGATTGTAAGATTCAAATAAAATTGGGATCTTCTAAGAGTCTTCTGGCGCAACAGTTTTAAGATATGCTTTTCCCTGGTTGCAGTTTGAGCTCTGTAGAAACTGGATGCTCACTGCCTGAGGTCTGTCTTAGACATTAACCTGCTCACCAGTGTTAAAATGTTGTGACCTAGTGTCTGTGGAGAATGAGAAAATATTGTGATTGCTGATGAGTGGAGATGATGCCATGAACTCATGATCTCAAAATTCATCAGAACCAGGGTCTGTGGTTGGAGCCCAATTGGTAGAATGTGTAGCCAACATGCAGAATAACTCCAGTTATAACCCCACCATGACAGGAAGAACAGGTGGGGAGATACACCTGAAGTCCCAGGTGGTCCTCACCATGACAAAAAGCTGTTTTTTCTCTTTTTCCTTGTTGTTGTCTTTGAAACACAGTGACACTAAGTAGCCCTGGATGACCTGGACCTTGCTGTCCACAGACTCACAGAAATTCTCCTACTTCTGCATCTAAAATCCTGGAATCAAAGGAGGACGGTACCAGCTATACTAGGCTTTCTGGCATTTTGTTTTCTTTGCAGGTAGAATCTTTTTTTTTTTTTTGGTTTGTTCAAGACAGGGTTTCTCTGTATTGTTTTGGAGGCTGTCCTGGAGCTCGGTAGACCAGGCTGGCCTCGAACTCACAGAGATCTGCCTGCCTCTGCCTCCCGAGTGCTGGGATTAAAGGCGTGCGCCACCAATGCCCGGCTGCAGGTAGAATCTTGCTCTCTAGCCCAGATTGGCCATTACTATTTAGACCAGACTTAGTCAAATATGCAATCCTTCTATCTCAGTCTACCTAGAGTGAGTTAATCTAAATTAAGACAGAATTCTTTGCTGGGTGTGGTGGTGGAAAGCTTTAATCCCAGAACTTGGGGGAAGAGATAGGGGATCTCTGTGAGTTCAAGGCCACCCTGGTCTACTTAGTGAGTTTTAACACACCCAGGGCTACTTAGAAAGATAGTTTTAAAACAAAAAGCCAGGTGGTGGCACATGCCTTTAATCCCAGCACTCCAGAGGAAGAGGCAGGTAGATCTCTGAGTTGAGGTCATTCTTGTCTACAGAGTGAGTTCCAGGACAGTCAGTACTACATAGAGAAATGGGGTACTACATAGAGAAATGGGGTCTCGAGAGAGAACGTGAAACCAACAAGAAACAGCAACAAAAAAGGAAAATAAAGAAGAAAGGAAGGAGGAAAAAGCAAACAGCCATCTATATTTTTTGAGACAGACTCTATCCTATAGCTCTGGCTTTTCAGGAACTCACTATGGAGACCAGGCTGGCTGCCCCTGAGACTATAGAGCCTTGAACTCACAGAGACCCTTTTGCCTCTGCCTCTGGAATACTGGGATTAGAAGGGCAAGTCACCCTACTTTCCTTTTTGTTTCCTTTCCTTTATTAATGCAGGATTTCAATGCCCAGCTTTGGCCTCCTGGAACTCACTATGTAGACCTTGCCTCCAACCTTGCTTTCCCTTTCCCTTTTTGAGTTTCATGTTTTATCTATGACATCTTATAGGCAAGGTGAGTGTGCTCAAGATGGCCCAGCTCTCTAGGTATTAAAATTTTTGATGTTGACAGGGTGTAGCGGCACACACCTTTAATCCCAGCCCTTGGCAGGCAGAGTCAGATGGATCTCTTCTCTGAGTTGGAGGCCCACTGGCCTACAAAGGGCTGTTATACAGAGGAATCTTGTGTTTGTAAAACAAAACAACAAACAAAAATGTTTGTTGACAGTTATGGTACACGCCTTCTCCCAGCACTGGGAAGGCAGGGACTGGCAGATCTGTCTAGTTGGAAGCCAGACTGGTCTACAGAGCGAGTTCCAGGACAGGCTACAAAACTACAGAGAAACCCTGTTTTGGAAAAAAATGGTCTTGGTTTTGTTTGTTTGCTTTATTTTGCTTTTGTTTTCTAGACAAGGTTTCTCTGTATAGCCCTAGGTATCCTGGAACTCTCTGTAGACCAAACTCTACTCTAACTCAGAAATGCCTCTGGCTCTGCATCCCAAGGGCTGGAATTAAAGGTGTGTCCCATTCCCACCCTGCCCTACCTTGCCTTACTGTTTTCAGTGTCTCACCTCTAGCACTGGCTGACTGCAACTGACAATGTAGACCAGGGTTTTGTTTTTGGGGTTTTTTGTTTTGTTTTGTTTTGTTTTTTGTTTGTTTGTTTTTTCAGACCAGGTTTTTCTGTATACCTTTTGGACCCTGTCCTTGAACTCTGTCTGTAGACCAGGCTGGCCTTCAAGTCACAGAGATCCACCTGCCTCTGCCTCCCAAGTGATAGCATTAAAGACATGGGCCACTACCACCCAGCATAGACCAGGCTCTTCTTCACCTCACAGGGAACTCCCTGCCTCTAGGGGGCTGGGATTAAAGATGTATGCAATTCTGTCCAGCAACTTCTGTCTTTTGAGGCAGAGTTTTTGTAAGTGATAAGGTTGGTTATGAGGTTCCTATGTACAGACCCTGAATTTATCACTCTCCTGTCTGAGCCTCCTGAGTAGCTGGTATTGTAAACCTGTAACATGTCCCTGGGTCTTGGATGATTCTGTTATAAATGAGAGGATCGGGATGCTGGCTGGTTTCTAGGCTGCCATGAGTGAAGAATAAATACATAGTGAAGAGTCAAAAGCTACAGATGGTCATCAACATGGAGTCACAATTTCCACCTTCAGAAGCTTCCAGCCTTGGACATCCTAACCCACACTCCTGCAGACAAAATTGCTCTCTGGTTTTGGGTCCCAGCATAACTATATTATGAGAGCCTGTCACAGAATGTATGTATAAATAAAGTGGGCTTTGAGGCTATCTCCTGTAACACCAGTGTTGGTGAGACAGGGACAGAGGACATGCTATATGTTCCTGCCTATCACAGCCTACTTAGAACATTCTAGATCAACCTAGGATACATAAAGTTCCTGACTCAAAACAGAAATTTCATGAAGAAGAAAAGAAGGAAGGGTTTTCCTGTATTGTTTTGGAGGCTGTCCTTGAACTCGCTCTGTAGATCAGGCTGGCCTATGAACTCACAGAGATCCACCTGCCTCTTCCTCCCAAGTTCTGGGATTAAAGGCGTGTGCCACCACCACCCAGCCTACGAATGGGTTCTTGTCTTTCTCCCTAGCCTCTCTTCAGTGGACCTGAGGGTGATCAATTAAGTCAATCTCTACGCACCTAATCCTGATTAGTATTAAATGGGCGGAGTGTCAAGCAATATGATGACTTGGCAGCCTGTGGTTGCTACAGAAGGCTGTGAACTGGAGAAGCGAAGGATGGGTGAGTAAAAGCCTTAGAGGAGCCAGAGAAGAAACTTGGGATCTTAGAGTCACCTGTTGACCCTGCTGGGACTAGGAGACCTGTCACCAGTGCCTGCATCTGGTAAGTTCCTCACCCATTTGAGGATACCCAATCCATCTCACTCAATCCAGTCACTCCCCACTGGGAATATTAGACTTCCAGGCTGCCTGGTCTACAAAGAGTTCCAGAACAGCCAAGAGCTGTTACACAGAAAAACCCTTTCTCTCTCTCTCCTGATTAACAGACTGGAGGCTGATTTTTGGCTCCAATGGCAGATTTGTCTTCATCTCAAGTGTCATTTGTATGTGAATTGATGGTTTTGTTTTTCTGTTTTGGTTTCTCAAAAGAGGGTTTCTCTATTGTTTTGGAACCTGTCCTGGAACTCACTCTCTAGACCAGGCTGGTCTCAAAGTCACAGAGATCTGCCTGCATCTGCCTCCCAAGTGCTGGGATTAAAGGCATGCGCCGCCACTTAACGACAGTTTTGTTTTTCTTGTGCCAGGGTTTTGTTCCTTGCAAACTGCATGACAGAAGGAAAGTGCCGTCTCTGTCAAGTTGTTCTCATTTCCACAGAAAACCATCGATGGCAGATGGCATGAATGAGTACCTCCACATTACAATATGATAAAACATAATTTTAAACAATTGCCTAAAAATCCACCTTAGAGTCCAGGTGTGCTGTTGCGCACCTTTAATTCCAGTATTAAGAAGGCAGAGTCGGGCCGGGCGTTGGTGGCGCACGCCTTTAATCCCAGCACTCGGGAGGCAGAGGCAGGCGGATCTCTGAGTTTGAGGCCAGCCTGGTCTACAAGAGCTAGTTCCAGGACAGCCTCCAAAAGCCACAGAGAAACCCTGTCTCGAAAAACAAACAAACAAAAAAAAGGCAGAGTCGGGTGGATCTCTGAGTTTGAGGCTGACCTGATCTACATAGTGAGTTCCAGAACAGCCAGGGCTACAGAGAAATCCTGCATAGAGGAACAGCATCTTTGTTGTGGCTCATGCTGGCTGGAATTGTAATCCTCTTGTTTGACTTTCTGAAATGTTGGAGGTTCAAGAATGTGTCTCCCCATGACTCAGCCTCCTAATTCTGGTGTTTGTGCCTAGGCTAACCCAATTCTAGTCTCTTGTTTTTCAGATCAGCTTAATACTCCTGACTTTTAAAAATAATTTTAAAGATTATTTCATGTGAGTGCTTTGTAACACATGTGTCTGATGCCTTAGGTGGTCATAAGAAACATGCAATCCCCATGGACTGGAAGTCTTTGCTTAGGACCACCACATGGGTGCTGGAAACCAAACTCACATCCTCTGCCAGAGCTCTCTCTCCAGCCCTTATTTCTGGATATTTTGTTGGTGGTTGTTTTTTTCTGTTTTTTGTTTGTTTGTTTTTGTTTTTCAAAACAGGGTTTCTCTCTATTGTTTTAGAGGCTATCCTGGACCTCGCTCTGTAGACTAGGCTGGCTTCGAACTCAAATCTGCCTGCCTCTGCTTCCTGAGTGCTGGGATTAAAGATATGTGCCACCAACAGCCAGCAGTTTGCTTATTTTTAAGACAGGGTTTTTCTGTGTAATATTGCTTGGCTGTTCTGGAACTGTTTTTTTAGACTAGGCAGCCTGGATGTTACTGAAATCTCCTACCTCTGTCTCCAAGTACTGGATAACCCCCTCCCAAGCCACCCAATCTCCAGGACTCGTCAGGTTTTTTTTGTTTTTTAACTTTTAAAAGTTTTATTTATTTATTTATTTGTTATGCATTATTCTGTCTGCATGTATCCCTACAGGCCAGAAGAGGGCACCAGATTGTGAGCCATCCTGTGGTTGCTGAGAATTGAACACAATACCTCTGGAAGAGTAACCAGTAACCAGTGATCTAAACCTTTGAGCCATCTCTCCAGCCCAAAACTCAGGTTTTTTTTTTTCTTTTGGGGAGGGTGGGTTTCGAGACAGGGTTTCTCTGTATTGTGTTAGAGGCTGTCCTGGAACTCACTCTGTAGACCAGATTGGCCTTGAGCTCAAAGATCCACCTTCCTCTGCCTCCCTAGTGCTGGGATTAAAGGTGTGTGCCTGGGAAAACTCAGGTTCTTAAAAGAAATATAACTATACCCATTTCACAGATTGTTCTCAGACAGGCCCCTTGAGTTGAAGAGAGAATGATAGAAGGAAGATTTCACAGGGATAGTTTCTCTTTGAGGATCTTATGGAGCAAGGGTTCACCATAACAGGATAAAGATCCATTCTCTCCAGGTTACCCACTCCCCAGTAGAGTGGGACTCAGTGCAGCGGGGGTTGGAATTGGGTAGAATAAGGCACACTTCATATGGCTGACCCACAGTCCTCCATGCTGTCTTATGGAGCTATAGCTGTGACAGCATAAGGTAGAAAGTCAAATGGGAAAACCTGGTTTTTAACGTCTGGGCAGTGACTCTGACCCTGAGGTGATTTTTATAATTGGAGGAGCAGCCAGGCTGTGGTGGTGCACGCCTTTAATCCCAGCACTCAGGAGGCAGAGGCAGGCGGATCTCTGTGAGTTCGAGGCTGGGCTGGACCGACAGCCTCAGAAACAATACAGAGAAACCCTGTCTCGTCGTAAAACCAAAAAACAAAAACCAAAAACCAAAAACCAAAACACAAAAACCAAAAAACAAAAACCAAAAAACAAAAACCAAAAAACAAAAACCAAAAAACAAACAAACAAAAAACAAACAAACAAAAAACAAACAAACAAAAAACAAACAAACAAAAAACAAACAAAAAAACAAAACAAAATAATTGGAGGAGCAAAGGCCTTTCTAAGCTTTATTCTGAAAAGATATCTTTCTGGATACTTCCACAGGATACCCTTACCTGAATCCACCAGGATGAGCTTCCAGGATGTGCCCACTCTCCAACAGTTGGCCATTAGAGGGCTGTTGAAAGATGAAGATTTGACCCTGTCTCTTCTGGATGACCTGCCCATCGTGCTCTTCCCACCACTGTTTGAGCAGGCCTTCATCAATCGACAAACAAAGATAGTGAAGACCATGGTAACATCATGGCCCTTCCCCTGCCTCCCTCTTGGGTCTCTGATACACTATGTTGAAGCAGATAACTTCCAGGCTGTGCTGGATGGAATGGATTGGCTGATTAACGAGACTGTTTGGCCCAGGTGAGTGAGTCTGTGTTGGCATGGAATGAATGGGTGGAATTCAAAGTTAATGTAGTGCTGGGAGGTTGAGATGTAGGATCTGTAAGATTACAACTGTAAGATTACCAATGTCATCTGAACCTCTTCATGTTTGACCCACAGGAGGTGCAGACTACGAGTGCTCAATCTGCACTACATCGAGCATGGCTTCTGGGAACGATGTGTTGGAACAGAGAATGGTTTCCCTTCACAGAAGAAGAAGGAACCATTGGAGAAAGATCCCACAACAGAGGGAAAGAAGCCAAAATTGCAGGTGTTAGCTGAATATACCCTCATGTTTCAAACTCTCAAGGACTACAATAGTTGTTTCCTACAATGGCTCAGTCTGAGAAAAGACATTGTGCGAATTTATTTTTTTAACTTGGTTCCTAAAAAGAAATGAAAGTACAGACAGAGCAGTTGGATTTCTTTCTTAGGACCTCTCTGAATCTTAAGTCACATATGCATCATGGATGCTGCACCTTTTGCCCTCAGTAAGTCCAGTCTGCACTTAACCTTAAACTATGGTCTTCATCACATAGATTTTGGCCAGTCTTTCCTATAGAACATGAAATTAAAGAATGTACAACCATGATTGATTTTTTCTTTTTAATTTTTTTGTTTGCCTAAAACAGACTCAAAGAAATGACAATACTGTTTACTTCATATAAGTGTGAGCCATCTTATATCATTGTTGTAGTTCTTGCATAGCCTGTGACTCTTTTTTTTTTTTTTTTGGTTTTTCGAGACGGGGTTTCTCTTTGGCTTTGGAGGCTGTCCTGGAACTCACTTTGTAGACCAGGCTGGCCTCAAACTCACAGAGATCCACCTGCCTCTGCCTCCCGAGTGCTGGGATTAAAGGTATGCGCCACCAAGGCCTGGCGGCCTGTAACTCTTTATGGAGACCAGGCTAGCCTCAAACTCAGATCTTCCATCCTCTCTCAAGATGGTGGGATTAAAGTTATGTAATATCACCTGGTTCAGGTCCCAGACTTGATTTCATTTCTCTAGTCAGGGTGTTGGCTGATCTCTGAAACCATCTTTTGACAGAACCAGGGCTGACTCCCTGCTAGACACCATTCATTTGTTTTGGTTTTTTGAGATGGAGTTTCTTTGTGTAGCTCTGGCTGTTTTTCCAGGCTGGCCTGGGACTCACAGATATCTGCCTGTATCCTCTATGTCCCAAAAACTTGAGCCACCACTGCCTGAGGACATTTTTGAAATTGTTTTGAGAACCAGTTTTGTGTAGCCCCTCTGTCCTCCTATTTGGTATAGCCAACAATGGCCTTTAACTTCTGATCCTCATGCCTCAAATCTTGAATTGGAGGATAGCAGGTTGTTCCACATGTAGGTCATGGTAGTGCTGAAGTGATTGCCCAGGGTTTGTGATTCTAGGCAAGCAAGCTCTCTCCCCCACTGGGCTACAACTCCAAAACCCTTGCATAACATCAATGGGTTCTAGTCATGCTCCTGTAACCTGAGACCTGAGTAGTGAAGAGAGCAGGTCACAGAGCAGTCAACTTTATTCCAGAACTGATTTCAGGATTGTGGAAAGGTGAGAGACTGCTTCTAAAAGATCTTAACTCTAGGGCATTTCCTTTTTTTTTCCTTTTTCTTCTTCTTCTTTTTTTTTTTTTTTGAGACAGGGTTTCTCTGGAGTTTTTGGAGATCTGTCTGCCTCCTGAGTGCTGGAATTAAAGACTTGTACCACCATTCCCCAGGTAGGGCATTTTCTTAGTGATGGAGAGGGGCCAGCTCATTGCAGCTGGAGTGACTCTTGGGCTCTTGGTCCTTTGTTCTATAAAATTACAGGCTGAGAGCAAGCTATGGGGAGCAAGCCAGTAAGCTGCATCCCTCAGTGTCCTCTGCATTAGCTCCTGCCTCCAAGTTCCAGCCCTTTGGGTTCCTATCCTGACTTCCTTCAATGGTGGGCTGTGATGTGGAAGTGTAACCCAAAGAAATTCTCTCCTTCCCAGCTTGCTTTTGGTCAGTCAATAATCATTGCAGCAATAGAAACCATAAGACACCTGGTATTTTAGATTTTGTGCATGTCTATTGTCATGAGTAAAATCTGACTCATACTCAGAACCACGTGGTTCATATGAATAATGCTCAGCCAGGGGGCATTGGCTCAAAACAATAGTGCTAACAGGAGGAAGCCTGAGGCAGGAGTTTTGCTGAGAGTTGGTATCAGATCAATCTTAGCCACAAGGGAAGATGTTGTCTCAAAACATATTTTTTCTTTAAGATTGAGTTTCCCTGTGGCTTTGGAGGCTGTCCTGGAACTAGCTCTTGTAGACCAGGCTGGCCTTGAACTCCAAGATATGCCTGCCTCTGCCTCCCGAGTGCTGTGATTAAAGGCATGCACTACCAATGCCCAGCCAACAAATCTTTTGGTTTTTTGAGACAGGGTTTCTCTGTATTGTTTTGTAGGCTGTCCTAGAACTAGCTCTTGTAGACCAGTCTGGCCTTGAACTCCAAGATCTGCCTGCCTCTGCCTCCTGAGTGCTGGGATTAAAGGCGTGTGCCACCAACACCCGACAACATAAATTTTATATTAATAAAACTCTGTGTTGGGAAGTGATTGAATAAGATCTCAATTTGGCAAAGTGTGAAAAGTGACCATGGTCAAGATCCCAGGCCCATCCATGGTTCTTGACTACAAACTCTGGAATTTATTGTCTTGTTTACTTTCATTTTTTCTAGATATGATTTAACAGTAACTCAGGCCTATCTGAAACTGTTTATGTAGCCAAAGATGACCTCAGTCTCAGTAATCATAGTCTTCTCCATGACAGAGTATGTGATAGGGTGTGTACAGGTTCATTAGATCTCCATGCAGGAGAATGAACTGAGACCATCGTAGACTAGAACCCATCCATGAAGTCTGCATGAACACTAGGGTTTTCTTGTCTCTTCTTTTACTTTTCCTCCTCTTTTGTTTGAGACAGGGTTTCTCTAAAGCCCTGGCTGTCCTCAGACTCCTCCTGTAGATCAAGTAGGCCTCCACTCCAGTGAGATCTGCTTCTAGTGCTGGACAAAGGTGTGGGCCACCACACCCTGTGTTTCTTTGTATGACTGTAAAAGACCTGCCTTGGCAATCATTGCCATGATGAGGCCAGAGCACAGCTGGTCTTCATGTGACACTGATTTGGTGGCCTAAGCCAGGTACTGTTTCCTGTACCACGAACCATTCTGGAGTTGAAAAAACCCTAGTTTATTCCCTAGGACTACAAAGAAAGCAAAGAACCTTGGGAGGACAACAAAGCTGCCTGAGATCCAAATCAATACTTTAGGATGGTGTTTCCTATGTTTAATTTCTGGCTGGGTAGGTGTTATCTAGCTAGATGACCTTGAACTGAACACCTGATCCTTCCACCCCACCTCACATGCTGGAATACAGACCTTCTGCACTATGCCCAGTGTGGTGGTAGTGATGTTGGTGTTAGCATATTGAGGGGCTGGACAAAGGAGTCAGTGTCTTCAGCATACTAGATGAGCTTTTACCATTTGAGCTACTTCACTCAGCCTATTTGGAAGATAAGTTTGTAATTATATTTATGTACAGAAATCTTAGCAGTTAACTCATTTTTTTGGGAGTTCTTCTCCTTTTCTAGCTTGGAAATTGGATCCACAGATTTAGGACCTAGGACTATTGCCTTCCCAATAGTGCCAGATCTCATATCTGTCATTATAATTGGTCCACTCAGCCTTTTTTGTGTTTTGTTTAGTCTGATAAGGCTTCAGTCTGAGCATCACACTGATCTGAACTCTTTTTTTTTTTCAAGACAGGGTTTCTCTGTATTGTTTTGGAGGCTGTCCTGGAACTCGATCTGTAGACCAGGCTGTCCTCGAACTCACAGAGATCCTCTTGCCTCTGCCTCCCGAGTGCTGGGATTAAAGGCGTGAGCCACCAACGCCCGGCTGACCTGAACTCTTATAACCTCCTGAGTCCACCATAGAAGACTACTTGCACGTGGGTTTAAGCCAGTAGAAAGTCTTTTAGTCAGTTGGCAATTACACTGTGTCTTCAGGATCCCAATGTGGCTTGGTACCTTTATCAGGGTGAGCTTTAAAACACCCTGGTTATGCATGCCTGGGTAGGCACACTTGAGTTTGCAAGAACAGTTAATGAATAGAGGGACTAGAGTAGACAAAAAGCAAGGCTAGTACACGTAGAGACTTATGGAATTGGGTGGGCTGGGCCTTTGTTGTTTTGGCAGGTGTTATTCTCTGCATGCTGGGTTTTATAGCCTGAATGGTACTGCTATGATAGATATGGTTGTGCTAAGGTCTAGGAGCCTAAGTCTGCTGCATTCCCAGTTGGTCTTTGTGATTGAGTCAGAATCACACCAGATGCTTAAACTGGTGGTGGATTTTGGATTGTTCTCTTAGAAACTCCAATGAATTGCCTGCTTGGGGGACTGGAGGGGCTGTAGCAAGAAAGGAATAGTTAGAGAGTTCTCCCCACTGCTTGTCTCTGAGTCAGGGAAGCAGTGGATGAGGTGAAATCCCTTCCTATATGCAGGCAGGCACAAAGCAAAGGAAGGTCAATTTTCCTTTTGCTGGACTCTAATGAGAGTTTTGTTAAGAGTTTCTTTTAGCCAGGTGGTGGTGACTCAAGCCTTTAATCCCAGCATTGGGGAGGCAGAGGCAGGTGGCTCTGAGTTTCAGACTAGCCTGATCTACAAAAACAGTTGGACCGTCTCAGCTTGATCAACTAACCAGTTCAGCTACTCTTTCAATATTAAAAATACTCAACGACCTGGAAACAAACAGGGACATTGAAGTGCGTATTGCCTGGCTTGGAGAAAGAGGCATCCTGCTGCCATGCCACCCACCCTGGAATACCTGTCTCCTGCCTGTGAAGTAACCCTGACTCTCATGAGTCTGATTCATCTGGAGAAGCAGACATTCGATGTCTTGGACCTGAAAGATGCATTCTTCAGCTTCCTGTTAGCAGAAGTGAGTCAACCCATCTCTGATTTTAAATGGACAGATCCAGAGGGAGGTTACAGTGGGGGGAACGTCTATGAACCAGATTGTTCATTAAAGCTTTAAATTTTTAAAGATGTAACAATTCTCAAACCCTGTTTGATGAGATACTAAATGCTGACCTCCTGCCCTTCCTCCAGAGTTTTTTGGTTTGTTTCCAGGTCGTTGAGTATTTTTAATATTGAAAGAGTAGCTGAACTGGTTAGTTGATCAAGCTGAGACGGTCCAACTGTTTTTGTAGATCAGACTAGTCTGAAACTCAGAGCCACCTGCCTCTGCCTCCCCAATGCTGGGATTAAAGGCTTGAGTCACCACTGCCTGGCTTTTCCTTTTTCTTGAGATGGGGTCTCTCTATGTAGCCCTGGCTGTTCTAGAACTCACACTGTAGACCAGGCTGACATTGAACTCACAGACCTGCCTGCCTTTGCCTCCAGAATGTTGGGATTAAAGGTATGTGCCACCACTACCTACTTTTTTCCTCTGCTTTGTTTGTTTGCTTGTTTGTAGGGATCCATGTAGCCCAGGCTGGCAAGAGACTAGCTACACATTAGGGAAGGACCCTGAACTTCTGATGCTCTAGCTTCTTTCTACTGAGTTTGG